AGAAATTCGTAAATTTGAAACTGACTGCGTGACATTGTAACAACCTAGTCAAACAGTCATTTGTTCTGTTATTTAGTTTAAGATTTAAAGATGAAAGTTTATTTCCTCCTTTCCCTTACTTGATATATAGTTATCATTTTTCCTAACCAATCGAGTATAATGCACGCCCCAGCAAGGTTATAGAAACAAGAAATAAAAAACTTAGTATCGAAATAATTAAATAGTATAGTGCATACAGATGTAAGTTGATAACAGTTTGATCTTTCATTTCTTATTCTCTGAAATTTATAGTTCTATTCTTTTCTCTTTGTATCACTAAATAATACTCAATAGCAATTATCATCAATAGTCGAAAAAATAATGTTCGTATTGATATCATAAGTTGGTTATCAACTGTCGAAGCATACATTCAACACGAGAGTGTATGCTCGAGCACAAATGTGAGTATGTGTCGAATTTGAATAGATTTAATAGTTTTCTGTGCAACTGTACCATATAGTGTGTAAATATATACGCCAATGCTTCGATTCAGAGAATAAAGACGAGAGGAAGATTTGGTTGTTTTAACCGGTAGTCTTTTGAATTATCATCACATGAACTCCTTGAAATGGACATTGAATTTCTTGAATTATTGATAGAGTAATTGTTTGTTATGGATTCAAATGATATTTTTGTCTTAAATGCTTGTTGTGTTGTTTTTCTAAAGTGACTGATCTTCAGATTTTATTGCCAACCTTAGTTATTATTGGTCAAACTAACTTTTCAAATACTGCTGTCATAAATGTCTTTAAAAACTATGAACTACTTCCTCCTAATGATGTTGATGTTGTAACTACTATTTCCCTATCAATAACTCAAAACTTCATTCAAATTACACTACTACTACGACTGACGATTTCACATAGGTGTGTTGGTTGTTACGTCACTTCCGATTTGTGCAATATGATCAAAATTTAGCCTTGACTATACTTATTACTGACTTTGCTAAATGTGACAGTTTGAGATACTTTCTATCAGTCTAGTGAATTTAGTCTTTTTCTAATGTCTATTCAGTGTTAGTCGTTCCATGCGGACTACGTTTCCGGAAGTTTTATTTTTCATCATTTATACAGTTTCTTCAGTTAAGTTACAGTTCATTATTGTCGGTGATTTTTTGATTCGCTGGATGACAAGTTCTACTTTTGTGATTGCTTGTATTGTGTACTAATGTGCCGAGTCTACACGGTTTGTCCTAGCTTTTGGACAAATTAATTAACATTGTTGTGCCGAGTTAGAATTCCCATGTCTTTGGCCTTCTCAATCACTCGTTCACAATCTTGGTTGTTTTTACGTGAGTATGTGTCTTTATTGTTTGCCTTGCTTACCACTTTTCTAGCTTATTTTGTCTGACTGTGTATGCTCAGTCATGCCTCATCAATCGAGTTGTCTCCTCCGCTTCACTTCGCTTCTCTTTTATTGCCTGTCTGTGCTCCCCATTCTTGTCTATTTGCATACGTATTATATGAAATAAATTTTTGCACAGTAAACCGTATTGCCCTTTTGAATACGCCGCCGAACAAACGGGGATCGCCTATGAAATAATAAATGGGAATTAGGTGAAAGATTTATTTCATAGCATTGATCGTCCAAATTGTAGTCAGCTTTCGGGTCACCAAATGCTAATCCCTGTAGATTAGTATGGTAGTGGTTGCTTTACCTATTTTTTCAGTCGACTACTTCTTTACCATGCGAATACCTTTTTCTACTCGATTGTTCATTGTTATTCTCGAATATATTAATTGTAAGTAGAGTTTTAGTAGTAATCAATCACACTGACATCAACTGGGAATAGCCACAGAAAACCCTGAAGTACAAGGCAAATACTTTCGTCTTAGTTTGAGTCTCTTCAGTATTAAGTACCCTTGATTCCCATAGGGTATAGTAATTAAAAAAATTTAAGGACATTCATGGTTAATATGCAACTGCTCATCCATTCCATCAATCCATGATACGGTGAGTCTGCTACTGTGGTGAAACCACTTACAACGGAGTTCACAAGAAGTTTGCAGTGGATAGGCTGTAGTCTCAACCTGAATTTACGAACGAAGCAAACCATGTTCGATCCGGATTCATGGAATGTTGTTCCTATAGATAAAATACATGTGAAAGAATACAGCCAAGAGTGCACTGTTATTGTGAATGGATGATTTATGATAAGGTGTACACTTTTCGGTTAGTAGATTGTTTTATTATAAATTGTCTATTCCATTTGCACTTCATTTTTCGTTCAGTATACCATTACTACTAGTATTAGTGATAGTAGGCATAATAATAATAATGACACGCTATCTAATGTTCACTCTTGATGGAGATGCCTTGGAGGACGTTAGACAACATCACACAAGTTTGATACGGCCTTTCTTCGGGATACCGTAAAACTCAACGAATTTAAGATAGCCTTCAGTAATAAGTTCATGGCCTTGCACGATATACTCAATGGAGAGGAAGCAACATTGAACAATTGGAAAGGGATCAAAGAGGCAATCACTTCAACATGTCAGGAGGTTCTGGGTCACACGAAACACCATCAAAAGGATTGAATCTCTGTTGGTACTCTTGAAATGAGTGAAGGAGGAACAAGAAGGCAGCAATCAGTGTCAGCCGAACAAGAGCAGAGAATGTTAAGGCACAAGCTGAATACACAGAAGCAAACAGGCAAGTGAAGAAGAACATCAGAGCCGACAAACGGAAATATGTGGATGATCTAGCAATGACGGCGGAAAAGGCTGCAAGAGAAGGAAACATGAGACAATTGTACGATACAACAAAGAAGCTCGCTGGGATCCATAGTAAAGATCAGTGAAGAGCAAGGAAGGCAAAGTAATCAGCAACACTGAAGAACAGCGAAACAGGTGGACAGAGCACTTTAGGGACTCTTGAATCGACCAGCTCCACTGAACACACCCAACATCGAAGCAGCATCTACGGACCTCCCATTTGATGTTGGGGCACCTACAATTGAAGAGATCAGCATGGCCATCAGACAAATCCAGAGCGGCAAAGCAGCAGGACCAGAGAACATTCCAGCAGAGGCAATGAAAGCAGACGTGGAAGCAACTGCAAAAATATTTCACAACCTCTTCAAGAAGATTTGTGATGAGGAACAAGTACCGTCAGATTGGAAAGAGGGATACCTGATCAAAATACCAAAGAAAGGCGATCTCAGCAAGTGTGAGAACTACAGAGGCATTACTCTTCTTTCAATACCAGGCAAAGTCTTCAACAGGGTATTGTTAAATAGAATGAGGGACTTCGTAGACTTCTAACTTCGAGATCAACAGGCCGGATTTCGTAAGGATAGATCGTGTACTGACCAAATTGCTACATTACGGATCATTGTGGAACAATCAATTGAATGGAACTCACCACTGTACATCAACTTCATCGACTGCGAGAAAGCATTCGATAGCGTGGACAGGAAAACACTGCAGAGGCTTCTTCGACACTATGGTGTGCCTGAGAAAAAATACGGAATTCTTATGATGGATTCAAGTGCAAAATCGTACATGAAGGACAGCTAACAGACTCTTTCGAAGTGAAGACCGGTGTCAGGCAAGGTTGCTTACTCTCACCCTTTCTCGTTCTCCTGGTGATCGACTGGATTATGAAGACGTTGACGTCTGGAGGGAAGCATGGTATCAACTGGACAGCTAGGACGCAGCTGGACGATCTGGAATTCGCAGATGACCTGGCTCTTCTATCTCACACGCAACAACAAATGCAAGAGAAGACGACCAGTGTAGCAGCAGCCTCTGCAGCAGTAGGTCTCAACATACATAAAGGAAAAAGCGAAATTCTCCGATGCAACGCAACATGCACCAACCAAGTCACACTTGATGGAGATGCCTTGGTGGACGTTAACACTTTTACGTATCTGGGCAGCATCATTGACAATCAAGGTGTGGATCCGATGCAGATGTAAGGGCACGGATCAGCAAAGCAAGGGCTGCATTTATATAGTTGAAAAATATCTGGAACTCCAAACAACTTTCAACCAAAACCAAAATCAGGATTTTCAATCCAAATGTCAAGACAGTTCTACTGTATGGAGCGGAAACCTGGAGAAATACCAAAGCCATCATCCAGATGATACAAGTGTTTATTAACAGTTGTCTACGGAAAATCCTTCGGATTCTGTGGCCAGACACGATCAGCAACAACGTACTGTGGGAGAAAACAAACCAGATTCCAGTGGAGGAGGAAATCAGGAAGAAGCGGTGGAAGTGGATAGGACACATTGCGGAAAGCACCTAACTGGGTCACGAGAGAAGCCCTTGCATGGAACTCTCGAGGAGGGCCAAGGAACACATTACACTGAGAAATAGAGAAAGATATGAGAGGAATGAACAAAAATTGGACAGAACCGGAACGGGAAGCCCATGACAGAGTTTGTTGGAGGAAACTGGTGGGCTGCCTATGCTCCATTTGGGGTAACAGGCGTAAGTAGTAAGTTAGTATCTAATGTTCACCTTTGAGAGGAGATTCCGGAGTATCTAGTAAGAAGCCGTGACCAGTAGAGTGCATTCATGTAGTGTATTGAAACGACATCGTCACACAACACTGGATAATGGTCTGCTTATATTGCTAATTGATCAAACTGGTAGATCTGAACCATTGGTTGTCTGAAGATCAAGCATTAGTCATGAAACCTGAAAGTTTTAAGTTTATTATTGATGGGTTCATAGAAATCCATCATTGAGGAATCCCAAACTATGTTTAAACAAATATGCGTTTCTTCCCGGTTTTCATTATTTATCTATAGCCGAAACCAATCAGCTGAGCGTCACATACCTTATAAACAAGTACAATGATCTTCCAGTTGTTTCGCTCGTTATTTTACTGGGGCTCATTTACCATATCAACTTGTTATTTTTATTTCGTTGAACCTTGAACTAGATTTTGTTGACCGTGAATAAATGAGTAGCTTTCTCAAAAATTTTACTGCAAAGCCAATAAATGGACTTATATTTGAACTAAATTATTCTATTTAAATTTACAATAGTTTTATTTCACAATTTGGTAATTTGTTCATTGCTTCGCATTGCATTCTCAGAATGGTTTCACTCCACTGTATATGGCTGCCCAAGAGAATCATTTGGAAGTTGTACGTCTACTACTAACTAATGGTGCAAATCCTGGTCTAACTACAGATGATGGTTTTACACCACTTGCTGTAGCTCTACAACAAGGCCATGATCGTGTTGTTACTCTATTACTAGAAAGTGATTGTCGTGGTAAAATTTGTTTACCAGCTTTGCATATTGCATCCAAGAAGGATGATGTTAAAGCAGCGAATTTATTATTAAATAGTGATGTCAATGTCGATCATCAATCAGCCGTAAGTTTTTTTAGTGATTACTAATTTCATTTTCTTCATTTTGTTGTTCGAAGGTGATGGGTATTGATTAGTCAACTAACTAAGAACCTGTTACATAAGTGGGTCAATTTAAGTTGTTACATAATACCAACACCAGAAGTAGTAGTGGTAGTAGTAATAATAATATTGATCATAATAAGCGGTAAGACGTGGTCAATATAGTTAAGCTATTAAAAATGAATTCTTACAGCTTTTGAGTAACAATGACTTAATCGAATAATGACAATTCTCGGTTTGGTTTTCTCTAACTTTTTCATAATCTCGTCGACGTTGTGGCTGGTTCGACATTTTAATTCCAAGCATGTTGAAGTGCCATAACTGATCACTATAGAACACATAACTAAATTAAAAAACGAATGAATAACTTTTTGCTATAGAAGTATGACAATGTTTATTAAAATAAACTTACTTTTCCGAATTTCTAACTGTAAATTTGAAATTTAATTTTGAGTATCTGCAGTTAAAACTGTTATTAGTGAATGAGTTGAAAAATAATGGTAACCGAAGCTTTGTCGTCTTTTACTTTCTATAGTTTTCAAGTTAATTATTATTTAATGTTAGTTTATGCGGTTAGGAAAATTGGGAGGGAGTTCTGTGTAAGATATAACATAGCGACAATCCGAGTCACAACGTACAAGTTCGTACATACGTAAACCAGTTCAAGTTGCTACATACCACATTTGCAAAGAGATGCAACTGTCGATTCAAATCCCTTAGCAGTAGAGATAGCAAACGTATTAGCGGTAATCTGAAAGATTAAGGTTCGAAGATATTATTCACGAAGGATAATTCGGTGAAATAAATTTAACTAGATAAAGATAAAGGTGATGTATTATTCGGAAGATCCGGACATAAGAGAACATAAAGATTAGATGCACCTGCTCCATCTTAAGTGATTTTGAACCATGTAATTCATGGTCTCTAACCATCGATTCCAATCATCTCGCGGATCTCAACCAGGTAGTCTGCACTTGACAAAATAACTCAATCCAGTTGTCAAAGCGATTGTATTTTAAAGTACATGTTGTTGTTCGGTGCGTGGACGAGAATGTTAAATGAACCTAGATTATTATCGTCTCGGAGTCCCTAACTAGGCAGTCAACACCTAACAACATAACTCAGTCCACTTGTCGGCGATTTCAAGGAATAGCGTCATGTATTGGCTTGGCCGCCCTGAGATTGCTTCCAGACTATACCAACATAGGACCACCTACCTTGACGTGGTGGTCGGGCTTGCCTTTCGTAATGTTCCAACCGAGCTATATTGGCTGTAACATATGTTCCTGAAAGTTCTACCACACCAGGCAGGTCAATTGGAGAACGGTGAGACTAAAAGAAGCTACTCAAGGTCTGAGGGCGAAGTTGTACTGCTGACTGCAGAGGGTTGTGACAGCAGTAAGGTGTTTCCCTCGCACAACCAGCATCTGCAGCGATGCTGCTTTCTCACAAGGAAGGGAGGGGTTAGAAAATGTCGACCAAAAAAGTGGCACGCATCACCTTACCACACGGATTGCCGTCTTCGATGGCAAGGCCTTTTAAAAAGAACGAAGCTAACAACTTGAAAGCTCCCCATCAAAAGGCCGTGCATGATCGGCCTCAAGCAGTCGACCCTTGGGTGGTGCGTCTCGCTCCCAGGTCTCTAAGACCAACACTAATCTACCTCACTATTGTAACGCTCGCTTGAATAATTCCCAGCTAAATCCTATTGCTTAGTATTCTCTGACCACAATACACTGGACAAGTTCCAAAGAAACAAAACACGGTGGAACAGGAAAAGATTATATTCCAAATAGCAAGGTTAAATGGAAATAAGAAGCCGAAGACGAAGGCAAAATAGATACATCGTTAGTGTCCTTATGGTATGGGCCAGGCACTGATTGGATGGGAGATTAGCCAATCAGCGCGCAGCCAATGCAGTTATGCTTTATTCCATCTAAGCCCCCCTAACACTTACTTTTCGGGTTCCTCAAGAAAAACCCTTCCACGGAGTGGGCAGCCGGGATGTGACAACCGTCCTCACACCTGTACCAGCATACGAGATCAAATTGGTCACAATCAAATCCTTCCTACACCCGCTAACATCCCCTCATCATCTATATTTATCTTTCGAAGGTTATCTCACTGAACTATACTTCTCGAATAAAATCTTCGATCCCTAATATTCCCAACTACAGCTAATTCTTCTTCTGTCTCCACCACTATGGGATATGAACTGACAAGGGTGTCTCTGCAAATGCGGTATGACAACCTGAACTGATGTAATTACGTACGAAGTTCTACATTGCAACTGACTGATTCACTGAGTCAACCAATGATATTGAGTGGTTAATGTATTAAAAAATCGTCAAGTCAGTAATATACATCATTAGAATTTGACAAATTGACTCAATCGTATCGTGGACCTCGAATGTCATGAAATCACTTTCACGTTGATTTGTAGGGGGTAGTCCCGAATGATATAATATTCATATAAAGACACCGGTATCAAGTCTTCTTTGCTTATAGATCGACCTCCTGTGGAAACTGTTTCGGAATGAAAAATGAATTTGAAACCTACAAGTTTCCACAAAATCATCTCAAAATAAATTTCCTAGAGAGAAAAAATGATGTAATTGCGCCTTTCACACTGCAGGGGTTTGAGCCATTTCATTCAGGGTCTCTATCGATCGATTATTATCGTCTCGCGGACCAAAACCAGGTAGCCTACATCTACAAACATGACTCAGTCCACTTGTCATTGGCTTCATGCATTTTTTCCAGGTTCTGGTTTGACCGCTCCTAGCTTTCGAACCACCTTTTCCTACACCGAAAGATATAGCTCGATGAGGCAGTCGGTGGTTAGTCATAGGTAACACATGTCCCAACCACCTCAACTAGTGGAGTTTCAATACTTTATCTATTGACCAGCCATTCTTACCTAGTACCCGTTTCTTAATAACAGCGTTGCTCACTCGGGTATCACACGATATACGAGCAATGCTTCGAAGACACCTATGGTCGGAAACAAGCAACCTACGAATATCTTCTACTCTGACTGGCCATGTTTCACAGCCATATAGAGTAGGACGGAGCTAACTACTGCGCAAAACACTCGTCCTTTAGTCAGTAAACGGATATCTCGTCTACGCCATAAGTGACGCAGGTCGGCAAAAGCCAGTCCAGCCTTCTGTATCCATGCCGAGATTTCGTCACACACCAGGCCATCAGCACTGATGAGACTCCGTAGATAAGTGAGGCGGTCTACACGCTCGACTATTTCACTCGCTATCACTAGTTTAAGTACAGATGCAACCCAATCTTGCATTGTTGCTTAGGGTAGTCAGAAGACTCTGCATTTTGTCAGTGTCTTCATCAAGTAGAACTATGTCATCTGCATATTCTAAGTCAACCAACGAATCACCTGGTAGAATGTCCACGACTGAAAATGTGGACGAAGAAAATGTTATATCTAGAAGCAGGTCTGTGACAAAATTAAACAAGAACGGAGAAAGTCGGCATCGCTGACGGACACCACTTGAAGTAGCCAATTTCGATGACAGTTTGCCATAAGCTCTCACTCGACCTGTAGTGTTCGAGTACAGAGCTTGTATAAGGTTAATGTACTTCTCTGGTACATCTTTCAATGACAGACACTGCCACAGAACCTCAAGATCCACAGAGTCGAATGCCGCCTTAAGGTACAAGAAGACAACTATTGTGGGACGCCTAAATGTGTGTGTGTGTTCCAGGACCTGTCGTAGTGTGAGAATGTGGTCTATACAGCCACGTCCAGATCTGAAACCAGCCTGGTTTTCTCTAGTCTGCTCTTCACGAGCTCTATCTAGGTGTGTAAATATTATCATGGCTAACAATTTAGACACCATATTAATTATACTGATTCCTCTGTGATTGTCACAAGAGGACTTTTGTCCTTTCTTATAAATTGGGACAATAAGGGATTCAGATCAGTTGGATGGGATTACGCCTAATTCTAAAATTCTATCTATGATCTCAGTCAATCTAACTTCGAAAACTGTAACACCACCTGCTAAAACTGGACCACCATCCTTAAAAATCTCAGGGGTCAGTCTATCAGGACCCGCTTCTCTCTCTCGCTTTAGATTTGCTATAACTTTCTCAACTTCATAAACATTCGGCGGGCTCACGTCGACTTATCATTCAGGTTGACTGGAGATCGTGGGCAACCGAAGTGTGGCTGAAGGCCAGTTGAACTGATCCCTAAAGTGTACTGCCCATCGATCCAATCTCCTGTATTGAGAATGAAAAATAAGACCATCCATTGCCGAGATTATTTCATTTCCAGTCGGATTCTTAATACCGGTCTCCTTGATGAGTCTAAATAGTTGCCTACTGTTGCCTATCGCCGCTGCCTTTTCCATCTCTCTCACTTTCGCTACCCACCACTGTTCGTGATCATTGCGTAAGCTTTTTATCAGCCTACGCCTAAGTTGACTTCGCTCCTCATCGCACCCAGAGCCAGGCGGGGTGAGCTTTCGAGCATCCATCAGTTCCGTAGATGCTACTGAGATCCACGGCTTCATTACAGCCTTATGGTTTACCTTACTAGCACATATCACTGCTGTTTCCACAGCTTTTTTGATATCATTCCAAGCTGCCTCAGGGTGGACATCACTTACTATATGGCGGTCTAACTGTTTTTCTAGTTGTTCCTGTAATCAAGGAATCATTGAATACCAATTTAGGTTCTTAAAAACTGACTAGCTGTCAATCCATGGTGTGAACCGTAAAATGACACTAATCGTTTGCACAGCAATAGCAACAACAAGATGGTGTTATAAACTAACCTGAGCCTGAACATTCACTTCAGCTCCAGCTTCTAATAACAATTTGACTACTTCAAATTGACCAGCTAAACTTGCAATATGTAAAGCTGTATTTCCCTTTTTTGTGGCAGTATTCGGTCTTGCGCCCCGTTCAATTAATACACGTACAACGTCTGCATGGCCTTCTTTTGAAGCCAAATGGAGAGCATTCAAACCATTCTAAGCAGCAAAAAAAAACGAAAATAATTATGTATAATAAAAGTAAATATCATTAATAGGGCAAATTATTTAGTCAGATTCAATTAATGTACTGTTAAGAGAAACATCAGTCAATACAGGATTTGAAAAACATGATTCAAGTCCCTTATTTTATCACAGTGTGAAGCTTTGTTAATCTTATACATAAAACAAAGCATAAATGATTCAAGTTCTTGATGCTATCAAGTTCTCTGAGTTAGATGGTTTTGTTAAGAAGCTTTCATTACTGTTCTGGACAACATCAGCGCTTCAATACCAAGTAATTGCCAATCATATCCGGAACAGCAATTATTAAACGATCTGCGGAATTCAGCAACATGAAAAGCATCCCTCTGAAGAGCGATTCTGATTGTGTTATGCGAATCAGTGGTGAAACCAATGGATGATGTCTAGAAAAATACTAACCTATAATCTTACAATCATACACATCAAATTTTAAATACTCATCAGTTTACTTTCCAAATACGAGTGCTTCAAGAAATATGAGACATAAGTAAACATGTAATGTTGATTAGAAGTGTAACCAGAGGACATATAAATAGCAATAGGAAACAGAATAAAACAATTAAACGTTCAATAGATGGAAACAATAACAAGCGGGTGTATAAATGCATTTCAGCATTAGTACCATTTTCTTGTCGTCTTTTATGTCCCTGAGAAATTTCACTTTTTTATGTTGCTTACATGATGGTAATTTGAGATCATCGTTTTGTTTATCTGTTTGTTCGGACATGTAAGCAGATTCCTTATTGACAGATTGATTGCTTTTTCTACAAGCTAAACTCGGTTACTTCATAATTTACAAGTAATAATAAAAAGCTGATAAATAAAAATTCACAACTTCCTTTTACTTTTAGACAGAATAAAGTATAGAGGAAAATATAAATCAATAAAAACTTACACATTAGGAAGTTACTATTTCATTATTCTGAGCTGAAACCATGCTTAACACTGATTAAAAGAGATATACAGGTCGGATATATTGAGTTCGATTTTAAAACTATTACTACTGAAAATTATATTTACCCACATATATACAGAATAACAGCGAATTCGCTGAAAAAAGATCCCTTTGTCTAAAATAAAAATTACAAATCAACTATTTGAAGTATATGGGAGACGAAAGGATGTCAGAGTTTAGTTTTCAATGGTATATCAGCTGACCTAAATGGAAATCAAAGTTCCTCCTTGATTAAGATCGACCACGAACTTTAGAAATAATAAATTATTTGATTAATCGTTATTCTCAAATGAAATATTGAAACAATAAAAAAATGAGCGCTGTCAAATTTTATCAAAGAAGGGTAGCTAGGCTGGTGTCATGATATAGATACACTGCACTAATTCGTATTAATCAGTACAAACATTCTATGAAATCCCGGTGACTAGCTCAAACCTAGCAAGGACATACAAACTCAAACGGAAAACTATTGAAACGATAAGACTATTAGGCTGATTGTAGAAATAAAATTACCTCAGCTGTATACTTAAAATATGCAATAAGGATTTGTTTACATGATACGAATAGGACTACATCCACAAATTGCAATCTTAACTTTATCATACCTTTCAGAAGTTCTATATAATTATCGGTTTATGGGTCATTGAATATTATTAGGACTGTAAATCTATCCAAGTTAGTTCAGTAGTTTTGCAAATCCACAGAAGTCAGAAATAGGAGCCATTACACATTGGTTTGAAGGTCTTGAGTCAGGGGCCTGTGTGGAGTAGTAAGCGGTTAATGCTAAGAAGTCTGACAGCAGGATCAAACAGCTGTCCACTGTAGATTCGAAATCTTAATATAAAGGTGATTATTTACTAAAGGTCAATAATATGCATACATATGTTAGCTACTGATAATCAATAATAAATAATCACATTACAGATAAAACAAATTGCAGGACAAATAATAACCAGTCTAGAAAAATTAAATACTCAGTATTACTTTCATTGACAAGAATAAATTAGCTGGTTTAGTTATAAACGATGTGAAATTCGACATGCATATATATGTATATATATATATATATATATATATATATATATATATATATATATATATATATATATATATATATATATATATATATATAAAGCCTGAATTTTCTACACCATATTGCTAAACTGTGGGAAAATCAAGTGTTGCGAAAAAAAGGACTAATAATTATGTCTGTGATAGCCAAAGAAACTGATGGTGAGGGGCGTGCTTCGAAAAGAAGGGACGGAAGGATAAAAAAATTATACAATAATATTAAGACTCAAGACCTAAAAGAAGATAGATAACAAATACATCTGTATACTGACCTAACGGTTACGTGGATGTTCAGCCACTACGTTACGGGTTCAAGTTCCGATTCCCACTGACTAGCGTTCGAGCAACGGATAGCATCGTCAGCTTTTACACTTAGAGAATGGCTCGTAGCTAAATACCTCTTCAATAATTGGATATGCTAATTTTCGATTCACATTCGGGCTGTCATAAAAGGTCTCTCCAACCACTGATTATGATTATCGTTTTGGACCTTATATCAGTAAATCTGTGCCTTTTGACACGGCCCACATGAAGAATCAGTAACTTCACGCACCCATGTTACGTCTCGTTTCACCATACCTTAGCTGTATTTAAACATACTCAAATTCTGGCTAGCAGTGTGCGTTGAGGCATGTCACATGCATGAGGGCGGTTGTCACTTCCGGCTGCCCACACCCTGGAAGGTTGTTTCTTGATGAACCTGAAAAAGAAGGTAGATTTAGTGTCGGTCTTAGAGACCAGGGAGCATGACCGCAGAGCCCAAGGGACAACTGCTCGAGGCCGGTCACGCACGGCCTTTTTATGAAAGGCTTTTAGAGTATTAGCTCCGCTCTTAAAAGCCCTTAGTGGGCACCCTTACCACCGGAGATGGAAATCCGTGAGGTCAGGTGAGGTGTGACATTTTTAGGGTCGA